TGTCACCACTCTATGTTTTCGTGTGCAGAACACAAGAAGGACCAATGTAATAGAACACAACATGGTTATATTACCTTAAGTAATAATTTGGTAAACCTCTGATGTTTATACTGAAAACATTTTGAATGATCAGACAACTCAATGAATTTAATGTAATGAGTGAAATACTCATTGGTGGCATTGTTTGACTGATTGCTACGCAGTTTCATCTGTTGTTGGATTAAGAGAGATCATCCTTGAGCTGCACTTGAGGACAGTATGAATGAAACTGTTAACATGCTTCCTGGTTGGAGGCTCATCGAATACACAAGAATATTGTAGCTCTCTGTTGGAGTCATCTGAAGTTTTTCACTTTCTATTCTAACAGTTTTCTGCATGATTACGGTGAGTACACCTATGTCACACATATGAAATAAGAATTTCAGCTAAAATTTCTCTTTATTAAAAAATGGTGGCATGTGTTATCTGCATAGAGGATGAAAATGTCTCTTCATATAGACAGGTGGGTATCTGCTGGTCTCTTAGCTGAGATTTATCCATCCAGTCTCGTTCAAAGTCTTGAACTTGGTTGATCTGCTATAGTAAGAGTATAAGTCATTTTGAAAAAGGTATTTAAAAAAAATACAAAATGACCAGTTATGTTATAATGGGTCTGTTTATTTATTCGTTTTATATGCACTGATTACCATCGTCCTCACACACTCTGTTGAAAACAGACATGCACACATTCACGCTCCAACACGCAGACACATTTGAAATAATCAACATCTGACATTCAGAACATGTTAAAAATCAGGAAGACATGAAACAATCAATATCAGTGGTACAAAGTTTACAACAACAGAACAATACCAACTGCCCTAAACCGAGCCATAGTGTTAGAAAGTGCAGGAGGCCATGAATCCCTGCTTGTAGGGCTAACAAAAACAGATCCAGGAGCAGCTTATGTATGCGATTAATACATTTATAGTGTGAATGTGAGTATTAAGATTGTCCAAGTGCAAAACTAAACAGGGAAAAATAAAGAAGACTTGTGATGCTGAACTTTGGAAGAAAATAAGCAGAGGTTTGCCGGCCAGTTCCCCAAACAGGAACCGCACAGCAGGGCTTAAAAGTGCAACGGAAATATCAGAGGTAAACTTTACAACAAACGATGCATCGCTATCACCTTAATCAGAGTTTCTGGAAATTTCTGCCCCAAAATCGATTTGAATGTGGATGCACAACATATTATTTTTGACTTATTGTCTTTGAGCACATTGATTGGAGACATAAATACTAAGGCCCAGTGTTCAAGTCATTCTCGTATAAGACACTGCTCACACACATATTTACACGCACACCCACATCAGTACCTAAAAGCACACAAATAGAGGCAACAACTGTAAAACTAAACAAGGATCAAGTGCTTTCGTAGCTAGAATAAAGGAAAATCATTAACGGCATTGCTACAATATAATGAGGCTGTAGATATTTGGCATTGGTTTCATCACGTTTAACTGGACTGTTTGACAAAGCAACACTAGGTTAGTAACCTTTTATTGGCTACAAATGTCTTTTTGACAATTATTAATTGGAATTGAGTTAGTTTTCTAAATAATGTGACACCTCTCAGCGTTATGGATTGATATGATTTTGGCTGGTGTGTTCATGAGGGTTAACACAGGAGGTTTGGCAAAGATCTTTTTCCAGGCGATTAACGTGTACGCGTGAGATTAATGTGAAGTTCACGTGAAATTAAAAAACTAAATTAACCATATGCTGATAAAACAAGGCAACAATCAAAGCAGCTTTAAAAGCCTCGGCTGAAGACATGACTGTTACAGCTGTAGAGATGGCAGTGATTTATAAACAGCATCATTAAACAGTGATGGTGAGCCTGGCATTAGTCAATAGGCAAACTCTTACCCAGTTCCCATTACTGAGCTTGAGTCCTGCTGGTTATAGAAACACTAACAGTTACTGGCTGGTTACTGGTGGCTGATTTAGTGGCTAAATGATATG